GCCACTTCTTCTGCAAGTTGGCGGAGGAGAAGTTCGAGGGTGCCAAGAGTCTCTGGAAGATGCAAAACCAGTGCGGTGGTGACACCCTCTCCCAGGACTTGCAGAAGCCATCCCAGGATGAGTGGGGCAAAACCCTGGAGGCCATGGAAGCTGCCATGGTCCTGGAGAAGAACCTGAACCAGGCCCTTGTGGATCTGCATGCTCTGGGTTCCACCCACCCAGATCCCCATCTCTGTGACTTCCTGGAGAACCACTACCTAGACAAGGAAGTGAAACCCATCAAGAAGATGGGCAACAACCTGACCAACAACCGCAGGCTCGCTGACCCCCAGGCTGGGCTGGGCTAGTATCTCTTTGAAAGGCTCACCTTCAAGCATGACTAGGAGCCTCCGGAGTCCAGCAGCCTTTGAGGGGCCCCTCGCGCAGCCCCCTGATGTCAGAGCTTCTGGCCTGAGCCTCTCCCTGCAGCTGCTAGGTAGCTTTTTAACCACCCTGGAGCCCTCTCCCAAGCTATGGACCAAATAGAAAAATAAAGCTTTTTGCAGCAAAAAAGAAAGAAAACCAAGAACCCAATTAAAAAGGGGCAAAAAATCTGAACAGACACGTCACCAAAGAAGATATACAGTTGGCAAATAAGTGTATGAAAAGATACTCCACATCATGTGTCATTAGGGAATTACAAATTAAAACAATGAGATACCACTACACACCTGTTAGGATGGCAAAAATCCAGTACACTGACAACACCAAATGTTCGTGAGGATGCAGAGCAACAGGAACGCTCATTCATTGCTGGTGGGAATACAATATGGCACAGCCATTGTGGAAGACAGTTTGGCAGTTTCTTACAAAACTAAACATAATTTTACCATATGATTCAACAACCACACTCCTTGTTATTTACCCAAGTGAGCTGAAAACTTATGTCCACACAAAAACCTGCACATGGATGTTTACAGCAGCTTTATTCATAATTGCCAAAACTTGGAAGCAAGCAAGAAGTCCTTCAGTAGGTGAATGGATAAATAAACTATGGTCCATCCAGACAAGAAATATTACTCAGTGCTAAAAAGAAAGGAGCTATAAAGCCATGAGAAGACATAAGACAACCTTAAATGCATATTACTAATGAAAAAGGCTAATCTCAAAAGGTCACATACTGTGTGATTCAATTCCAAGTATATGACATTCTGGAAAGGCAAAACTGTGGAGACAGCGAAAAGATCAGTGGCTGCCAGGGGTTAGTGGGGAGGGAAGGATGAATAGATGAAGCAGGGAGAAATTTTAGGGCATACTGTAACAGTGTATACATGTCCTTATATATTTGTCAAAATGCATGGAATGTACAACACCATGAGTGAACCCTAATGTAAACTGTGGACTTCAGGTGATAATGACATGTCAATTTAGATTCATCAATTATAACAAATGTACCAATCTGGTGGGGGATTTTGATAGTGGGGGAGGCTGTGCATGTGTAGGGGCTGGGGGTATATGGGAACTCCATCTTCTGATCAATTGTGTTGTGAACCCAACTGCTCTAAAAAAGCCTATTTTTAAAAAATCAATTGGCCATAAACTTTAAAAAATTAATTGCCAATATTTTTGGACTCTCAATTCTATTCCATTGATCTATATGTCTGTCCTTATTTCAGTAACACACTGTTTTGAGTACTGCAGCTTTGCAGTCAGTTTAGAAATCAGAAAGTGTAAGTCCTCCAACTTTGTTCTTTGTCAAAATTGTTTTGGCTATTCTGGGTCCCTTGCATCTCCATATGAATTTTAGGATCAACTTGATAATTTCTGGAATATAGGCAGTTGGGATTTTGATAGGGATTGCACTGAATCTGCAGACCAATTTGGGGAGTATTGCCATCTTGACAATATGAAGTTTTCCAGTCCATGAATGTGGGATGTCTTTCCACTTATTTAGGTTTTCTTTTAGTGTTTTCAACCATGTTTAGTAGATTTCAGTGTACCAGTCTTGTATTTCTTTTGTTAAATTTACTCTAAGTATGTTTATACATAAATTTATTCTTTTTGATGCTATGTAGGCAGAATTGTTTTCTTAATTTCATTTCTGGATAGTTCATTGCTAGTGTATAGAAATACAATTGATTTTTGTATATTGATCTTGTATCCTTCACCTTTGCTGAACTGGTTTATTAGTTCCAACATTCTTTTGTGTGGATTCCTTAGGATTTTCTCTACATAAGATCATGTCATCTGAGGCTAGAGATAGTTTTACTTCTTCCCTCCCAATCTGGATTCCTTTTATTTCATGTTCTCACCTAACTGCCATGGGCAGAGCCTCCAGTAAAATGTTGAATACAAGTGGTGAGAGAGAACATCCTGCTGTTGTTCCTGATCAAAGGGAAAGTCTCTCACCATTGAGTACAGGAGCTGAGGGTTTTTCGTAGCTGGTCTTTATCAGTTTGAGGGTGGTCCCTTCTATTCCAGGTTTGTTGACTGCCTTTTTCTGTGTCTGTTGAGATGATCATGTGGTTTTTGTCCTTTATTCTAGTACAGCATATTACATTGATGGATTTTCAGATGATAAATCGATCTTGTGTTCCTGGGATAAATCCTGCTTGGTCCTTTTCATATGTTGCTGGATTAGATTTGCTAGTATTCAGTTGAGCAATTCTGCATTTATATTCATAAAAGCTATTGGTCTATAGTTTTCTTTCCTTGTGATATCTTTGTTGGGTTTGGTGTCAGGGTGATCCTGGCTTTGTATGATGAGGTGGGAAGTGTTCTCTCTTCTTCTCTTGTATTTTTTGGTGCTTTATCTTCACTGCATCTTCATGGTGTTGCTCTGTGTGACTGCCTTTCTCGGTAGGGTCCAGCACTTGGCCCAGCCACGTCCCTGGAAGTTTACAGTTTACTCCGTCAACCATGCTTGGCCACGAATATCCATTGGAGGCTGGTGCCTGTGAAAGGGGGTGTGGTGAGAGCCCCTCTCTGGGTAGATAAGAAGTCAGCGCTCTGAAACCCTGCACACCAGCTCTCAGGTGGTCATCGGTAACACCTTGGGGGAGCTCCTGTTACAAAACTGCCCAAGCCTCTTGGTTGGAAATGCATTTTTCTGGATTTTTGTGAAGGCATTTCACAACAAGGAACATCTGCTCAGTTATGTTTAGGCCACAAGGAGCGAGGTAAGGGAGATGTCATCCCTGCAGGAAGTGGGAGCCAATCTGAGAACTTCCTCAAGACAACATCAGCCAAATATCAGAAGGGAGCAAGGGGGCTGGCTAAAGCAGAGTGTTCTAAGTGGCACCATCTTGTCTGGGAATCCACCATCCTGTCACCATCCCACTGAGCCAGACAGCCTGCAGGTGCCCCTAAAGTCCTATTCCACAAACCACATATAAACCTGACAACATGGAGAAAGTTCTGGGGGAAGAGGATCCCTGTTTTTGTTTTTCTTTGCTCGGATGGATTGTCATCATTTTGCTCTAAATGAGTTAACACCCTGTCACACCAACCTTCCCATCTTCAAAGTGGGAGGAGCAGAAGGACAAAGATCCCTCAGTCCCAGGAATAAATAAGCCTAAGGGGGGGTTTTGATGGTCACGTTATGAGACACATGATGTGCTCCTGTGATGCAGGGACTGGCATGGAGTAGATGCTCAGTCCACCATACCTCTCACGGATATCTACAAGAAGGGAGCTGCCCTTATGGTCCCCCAGGGTTCTCCAGGCTTGACAGGTGCTCCTGAGCTATAAGGGGCTGCCATTGGTGTCTGAGGGGCCCTAGGGGTGCCCCAACCTGGAGGGCTGGAGGTTGTCCCCAGGAGTCTGCTTCCCTCCTTTCAGGACATTGTCTGTAGCTAGAAGCTCAGAACAGACAGCATGAGTTCTGCCCATTCACAGAACACGCCCCAAAGCCGGGCACTCCCTCATCAATGGGTGAAGGTGGCTTCCTGCCATCCCATTGTGCCAGGAGGTCAGGGACTGCCCAGGGCCTCTCAGCTAGATTCATACCCTCATCTTACCAGTCTCACCTGACTCCCACAGCCCCCCCAGTGTTGAGGGGGCCTGGATGGTGCCCAGCTGGTGGAGTACGTGGGTTGAGTTGAGGGATTAAGGAGGGTGTCTGCGGCAGTGGAAAGCGAGTGGGCTCCAGACACCCTCCACCCCCAGACCTGGACCTTAACCTCCACTTGCCTCCCGAGGCCACCCGGGTGACCTGGGCTAGTCACTTACCTGGTGGCCTGGGTTTCATCATCTGCGAACCAGGCACAGTAATAGGGCTTCTCTAGAACCTGGTGAGCTCTCGTCTTGACCGTGTGAGGTATGGGTAGGGTGGGCTGAGCGTTTGTGTGACCACGAGGTAGGGCCCAGTGCTGGATCTGGCGCACAGTGCCGGGGCGGGTCCAGCACGCAGGCAGCGCGGGGGGGCGGGGCAGACGCAGCACGCAGAGCGGCGGCGGCGGCGACAGCAGGTGAGTCGCAGCAAGTCCTGTGGGGACGGACTCAGGCCAGAGAGGAGGCGAAGGCTCAGGTACCTGGAAACAGGGGCGCGGCAGAAGTGGCTCTGGCAGCGGCACAGCGGCGGCGGCGTGTGGGGGCGAGGGAGGGGGGCACCGGGCCTTGGCTTCAGGCGCAGGGCCCAGGGCAGCCCCCGTTCCCAGCGGGGTGAGCTGACACAACAGCCTGGCGGGGCGGGGCATGGGGGATGAACGCCTCTGTCTGAGGACAGATGGCCGCTGGGCTACGGCCAGGGTCACAGAGTCGCTCCTGTTCCGGATCCTGGAGGCCTGGCCCGGCTCTTGGGAAGCCTCGCGTTTCCACCCTGCTTTGGGTTCCCACACCACTGGAGCAGTTCCTAGCTGGGCTCCCTGGGGCTGCTGCCTCCCCACCCTGAGGGCCCCTCCCAAACATGCCCAGATCTGGCTTGACCAGGCTCCCTCCCTTGCCTGGGAGGCAGGCCAAAGGGATCTCCATGTTTCCTGTGACCTGCTGGCAGGCCCTGACCCTGCATCATCCCAGCCCTCCAGCTAGCCAGTGGTTCCAGGCTTGGGTCCCCAGGGCAAGCTCAGAGCAAGGACTTAATGCTGGTCAGGACCCGGCTGGGCAGCCCGTCACTCCCCTCTGGCCCTCGTAGGTGCCAAGAGCTGGCTTGCTGCTCCTCTCAGCTGCCCACCATGGCCCGGGGGCTGCCCAGCACTGCCAGCCTGGTGCGCTTCTGCCAGAAGCTGAACCGGCTGAAACCACTGGAGGAGTCCACCATGGAGACATCGCTGCGGCGCTGCCTGAGCACGCTGGACCTGACCCTGCTGGGTGTGGGTGGCATGGTGGGCTCGGGCCTCTACGTGCTCACGGGCACCGTGGCCAAGGAGCTGGCTGGCCCTGCAGTGCTTGTGTCCTTCGGCGTGGCCGCCATGGCCTCCCTGCTGGGAGCCCTATGCTATCCAGAGTTAGTGGCACTTGTGCCCGGCCAGGGCTTTGCCTACCTGTTCACCTGCGTGTCCATGGGTGAGCTGTGGGCCTTTCTCATCGGCTGGAATGTGCTCCTAGAGTACCTCATTGGTGGAGCTGCTGTGGCCCGCGCCTGGAGCGCCTATCTGGATGCCATCTTCAGCCACAGCATCCGCAACTTCACTGAAACCCATGTGGGCATCTGGCAGGTGCCCTTCCTGGCCCACTACCCAGATTTCCTAGCTGCTGGTGTCCTACTTTTGGCCGCAACATTTGTCTCCTGTGGAGCCCGCATCTCTTCCTGGCTCAACCACACCCTCTCTGCCATCAGCCTGGTCGTCATCCTCTTCATCATCATCCTGGGGTTTGTCCTGGCCCGCCCGCACAACTGGAGCTCTGAGGAGGGTGGCTTTGCGCCCTTTGGCTTCTCCGGCATCATGGCTGGCACCGCCACCTGCTTCTTCGCCTTCGTGGGCTTTGATGTCATTGCCGCCTCCAGTGAGGAGGCCCAGAACCCAAAGCGAGCTGTGCCTATGGCCATCGCCATCTCGCTTGGCCTGGTGGCTGGTGCCTACATCCTCGTCTCCACTGTGCTCACCCTCATGGTGCCCTGGCACAGCCTGGACCCGGACTCAGCACTTGCTGATGCCTTCTACCGGCGGGGCTATAGCTGGGCGGGCTTCATCGTGGCAGCTGGCTCCATCTGCGGTAAGGGGCCCTTCCGGGCAAGGGGGGAGGGACCAGGGCATTGGGGCCCTGCCCTAAGCCTCCCTGGGAGCAAATCTCCATCTGGGCCTGTGTTCCCAGTTGCATCATAGGCCCAGAAAGGGGCTAATGATTAGACTACCCACCCAGGCTTGTTGGGAGGGACCTACTCACAGCCCCTCCCAATTGTACATACAATGTCAGTTCTGTGCATGTGCTTCCAGATCCTTTCCTGACAGAGGGACTGAGCCCTCCTCAGATTCTCCAGTGGGCCTGTCACCTAAACTGGTGTGTCCCATTCCTGGGTGGTGAGGCGGGAACAATCCAGCACCCCATATACACTCAGGCTCACTCTGAGAGCCCAAATTCATGTCTGTGTTCCCAAGGGGCCACCCTTGCTCTGACCCCAGCAGCAGCCCCTGGTGGGCCTGTCCACCATGCTGACCCGTCTCCCACCCTCTGCCACAGCCATGAACACTGTCCTGCTCAGCAGCCTCTTCTCCCTGCCACGCATCGTCTATGCCATGGCTGCCGATGGGCTCATCTTCCAAGTGTTTGCCCATGTGCATCCCCGGACGCAGGTGCCCGTGGTGGGCATCCTGGTGTTTGGGATCCTCATGGCTTTCCTGGCGCTGCTGCTGGACCTCGAGGCACTGGTCCAGTTCCTGTCCATCGGCACACTGCTGGCCTACACCTTTGTGGCCACCAGCATTATTGTGCTACGCTTCCAAAAGGCCCCTCCATCCAGTTCCCCGGGTCCAGCCAGCCTTGGCCCCGTGGCCAAGGAGTACGACTCCTTCTCAGACCACATACAGCTGGTGGGCACACAGCAGGCCTCAGCCCCTGAGCCTGGGCAGCTGCGACCAGCCCTGAGGCCCTACCTCGGCTTCCTGGGTGGGTGCAAACCTGGAGCCGCCGTGGCTTGGGCACTCGGTGTCCTGGTGGCCTCGGCCATCACCCTGAGCTGTGTGCTGATCTTCGGGGGCTCGCCCCTGCACCTCCCGCTCTGGGGCTACACCCTGCTGCTCCTGCTCAGCTCCGTCATGTTTCTGCTCAGTCTCCTCGTCCTGGGGGCCCACCAGCAACAGCGCCGGCAGGACACCTTTCAGGTACTTCCTCCAGCAGCACCCCTCACTCTCAGCCCAGCCAGCTCCCCTCGCCCCTTCCTCCTCTGCTGTGGCAGGATGCACCAGGGCTCACAGGGCGGGGGAGGCCAGTCCCCCATCCCCCTCTTTCTACATGGCGAGTGGACCCTTGTCTCCGGAATCTCCAGAGGCAGAGAAAGGTTCTGAGGACTCCTGAGAAATGAGGCCCTGGGCCAGCAGACCTTCCCACAGCCCAGCCCAGCCCTGGCCTTGTCCCCCCAGATTCCCATGGTGCCCGTGACTCCAGCCCTGAGCATCCTCCTCAACATCTTCCTCATGCTGAAGCTGAGCTCCCTGACCTGGCTGCGCTTCTCCGTCTGGCTGCTGATCGGTGAGTGGGGGCCAGGCTGGGACCCGGGTGGGCTGCAGGAGGAGGGCAAGCAGGGAAGCAGGGCTGGGACGGCCCCTCAGGCTTGTGTCACCCTTGCAGGACTGGTGGTGTATTTTGGCTACGGCATCCGGCACAGCAAGGAGAACCAGCGGGAGCGGCCAGGGTTGACTGCCACACGCTACGTGGTGTTCCCCAGTGGCAGCCTGGAGGAGACGGTGCAGCCCGTGCAGCCCCCAAGCCACACACCGGCCCAAGAGACTGGCCGCACAGAGCAGCCCATCAGTCCATGAGGACCACTGGGGGCGAGTCTGCCCTCCCCCACCTCTTTAGGGGACCAGAGGGGCTGGCAGCTGTTGGGGGCAGCTCAGGTTTGCAGGCCTGTCCATGCAGGGGTTGGGGGGGGGTCCTCAGGACCTTAGCCCAGGTGCCAAGCTTTGAGTGTTTGGGAGTGGGCTGTGGACAGTGCTGGTGTGGTGGACTCTGCCCAGCGCCTTCCAGTTTATGACCAACTCCAGCTGCCTGGGCAGGGAAGAGGCCTGGAGCTCCGGGGATCCACAATAATAACTGCTAGGCCAGCCACGTGGCCTGCTGCCATGCCCACTGTGGTGTTCTTTGTGGCACTGAGTCCTGACCTTCCCCCCGGAACTAGACGATTGTCCCCAATCCACAGCAAAGATGCCGAGTCTCTCTAAGGGGAAGGCGCCAGCCCTGAGACAGCCATGAGTCAGGGACACAGTCAGGCCTGGTTCCCAGGGTCCTGCCCTCAGGCCAGTGCTCTCTGCCCAGCTCAGAGGGGAGCTACGCACACTAGGCACAGAAGGGTCTCTGACAAGGCGAGGCCAGGCTTCCACCCAGGCTCCCCACATGTCCCCTCGGGGGCGGATCCAGTGAGCAGAACCTGGACCCCAAGTGGAGTTGTGGTTCCCTCAGTTTCCCAGGGATCACAGAGAGCAGAATATGTGCCTAAGGCCTGCCCTGGGATATAGAGGTCCACCCGCCCGGGTCCACGCATCTCTCAGGCACAGGCCCACGTGGCCCACATGGCTCCCCTGGGGGTGCACACCCACGTGCAGACTGAGGCACAGCTGGTTCCAAGCTCAGGGCTGCCCGCAGCTCCCCAGCTGCCTCTCTCCCTGCCCGCCCCTCAGGGCTCTGTGATAAAGGCTTGGGACTGGACACACGCGTGCAGGTGGGTGCACAAGAGCCTGGGCCTCTCCAGGTACCTTCCAGCCCACCTGGTGGCAGTGGGGCCCCAGTCCTTGGCGGTCCCCAGGCCCACCCTGCACCCCCACTGGTCTCCCCAAGGCCATGCTTCGTCTCCCATAGACGCCTCCCCCTCCCCATTCCTGCCTGGAAGGACCACACAGGAAGCTGCTGGCTCTGGCAGCTTTACTCCTCGGCTCTCTGCAGCCCTGACCTCAGCTTTCTCTGGGCCCCAAGGACAACCAGGTACCCGTGACCCCGCTCCAATGACCAGGCTCAGGGCTGTGTTCTCTCACCCTGGCCCTTCTGAACCCGCCTCCCACGGACACGGCTCTGGGGATTGAGAGGAGCAGGGACCCCAAGGCTTTGCTGGGGCTCCAGGTGCCAGATGATTCCAGATGCTGCCCAGCCTGGGCCCCAGCCCTGGCCCTCCCCAACCTGGTCCATGTCCCTCCACCAGCAAGCTGGCAGCATGCCCCTGGTCACCAGGGACCCATGAGAAGGCAGCCCCTTGTCTCCCTGGGGTGGGTATCCCCAAATTCCTGCCCCTCCCTGGGACCAAGAGAGGGCTTGGCTCCTGCAGCCCCGTTCCTCCCCTCCTGACCGTGGGCCAGGGAGCACAGAGAAATTCTCCAGCAGGCAGGACTCAGGGCCCCAGGAAGATTCCAGAGGCAGGACCAGGCCAGCCTGCTGGGGGCTTCCATGTCCTCTGTTAGGGACATTCTCTCCACCCCCTGGGCTCCACCTGGGGTCTTGGTCAGAGCGTGGTCCTCATGCAGTTGCCTCAGGCTGGGGTGGGCAGCGGCCCAGACACGTTCTCAGGTGTGACCTTGGGCAGCAGTGACAGATGTGTCCAGATATACAGCCTCGCCACCCCATGGCTGCCAGGAAGCCCGGTGAGCAGGCTCCAGGGTGTGGGCTGGGGTCACCAAGGAGACATAGAAGGTCCCAAAGGACCCCATGCCCACCAACTCAGCCCCCCTTCCCCCATCCCAGCCCCCCACAGCCCGAGGGCTGCCACCAGGAAGGGGCTGGTGCTCACAAACTGAGCAGGTTTGGGCCCAAGAGGTGCCTGTGCCCTTGCCTGGGGTCCTAGGGGGTCGGATCATTCTCCCACCACACTCCTCACTCCATGGATGAGGCCTAGAGCTGGGAGGGGACCTGCCCTAGTAACCCAGCCCCAGAGCAGCTGAGACGACTCCTCTTGTCAGGCTTCTTTCTCCCTTGCCTTGGATTCTGGCTGCACAGACCCCCATGCAGGGCTGCTGAGAGGGGAGGGGCTCTACTGTGAGGGGAGTGCTGGCAGGGGGAGGAGGGCTGGGACCCAGGCAGGGCTGAGTCAACCACAGCCAGTGTGGTGACAGCTGGTGAACGGGGAGCTGCTGGGAACACTGGAAACAGACTGGGAAAGCGTTCTCCAGACCCAGACCCAGCAGGAGCCCCACTGGACCAGTGCCCTGTGTCGTGTTTCCCTGTAGGTCTCTGTACAAAACTGGCTTTTGTACAGAGCACCTGTACCGGGGCTGGAGTCGGGGGAGAACATTCTGCCTGGGAGCCGAAGGGTGGAGTTCTCCCCTGACCCCCTGCCCTGATCGAGCTAGGGCTTCATCCATGAGTCCCCAAGGCAGAGCCGCCATCCTTCCCAGTCCTGAACACCCAACCAGCAGAGAGAGAGAGATTACAGGCCTCAGGAATTGGCCAGCGAGTGGGTTCTAGGGCCACCCTGACGACAGTGTCCAGCTCCCAGCAGCAGCGGTGGGGCAGGTGCTGGGCCCCCTCTAAGGCACCTGGGCAGCCGGATGTGGGGGTGGGGAAGCCGGCTGTGTCTGCTCAGGGTTGGCAGTCCCCTTCGGAGCTTTTGCCTGCAGATGAGGACAGCAGGTCGGGGCTCCAGCCACCATCCTCCAAAGTGTGGCCCAGGGTCCAGGCAGGCCTGCAGCTCACCTCCTCATACTTGGTTCTCCAATAGAAATGGGCTTCCCCATCCACGTACAACAGCAGCAGGTCACAGGAGAAGGTGATCTGGGAGAGGCAGGGCAGACCCATGTCCTGGCTCCCAACCTGCCATCCCGCCGCCTCCCCAGCCCTCACCCCGAGACTCAATGTCAGGCACAGGGGGCTCGAGTGTGCAAGCAGCGGGGCCAGGGGGGCAGGCACATGCTTACCGACAGCCAGAGGGAGCCATGTTGGCCAGACTCACCACACCCAGCCAAGCCACTCCAGTGCCCAGAGTGAGAGTTGTGGGGATGAGCCCGAACTTCCCTGCCTGAGAGAGACCCAGGCTGAGCCTCTCCTGCTGTGGCTGTTGCCCCCTTCCACCCCTCACCCCTGCCCAACCCACCCCGGCCTGGCCCCCACCTGCCCAGTGACAAGGATGTTGAAGCGGATCCCGTAGAGCTTGAGCAGGCTCCGCGCCTCCACTCCTGAGGCCTCCCACCAGTGAGCGGCTGTCCTGGGGGCAGGAGAGTCTAGTGACCTGCTCTGCCCACTCCTGGGCTGGGCTCCCCCTCACAGGCCTCATCTTCATCATCCATTGACTCTACCCACCCCTAACCTGAATCCTGGGTCTCAGCCCTGTGTCGTTGCTGAGGACACAGGGGACAAGCAAGCTGGGACCTACCTCTCAGAAGCTCCCTGCCTGCTGAGGGGATGGGGACAGAAGGGTCCCAAAACATAAACTGGTAGTAGGGATGGGGGAGGCGGTGGCAGGCCTGGGGCTGTGGGGTCCAGAGAGGGGCACTCACTCTCCCCTAGGAACCAGGGAAGGCTTCCTGCTGGGAGACTCTCAGGCTGGTTTCCCAGGGGTCAGGAAGGAGTTCTAGGCAGAGACATAGGGTGGGTGAGAGCACAGGGTGCGGGGAGGAGGGCGTGGGCGGGGTCCCCCCACATGGTTGCAAAGGGCTGGGGAGGTCAGCGATGCCAGGCCAGGCTGGACCCAGCGAGCAGTGTCAGGGGCTTCACCTCCAGGCCTGATGGCTGTGTGCATGTATGCATGAGGGTGATGAGGTGACAGGAGGGTGGGGGCCTGCTTAGGAAACTCAAAGACATGACAGTACATGCACACAAGATCCTTGAGTGCATCCTGGATCGGAAAATAAAAAGATTTAGGACTAGTATTGGCACAGCTGGGGAAATTTACATATTAGATTTATCTGCCAATGTTAGATTTCCTGAGTGTGACAAGAGGCCAGCGGTCACCTGGGGAAGGTCTTCATTCTCAGGAGAATGTTGAGAGGGTGAGTGTCCAGATATCTGCCACTTACTTTCAAATGGTTTCCTTTGAAATCTATCTAAATATATCTGGCTCACTAGAGAGGGAGGGAGAAAGCAAATGGGGCAAAATGGTAAAAAAAAAAAAAAAAATCCAAACCTGGTGAATCCAATGATGGCTATATGGGTTTTCACAGTACTAATCTTTGAGGTTTTCTATAGATCTTTGTAATGTTTTAGATAAAAGCTTAAGGGAAAAGTAAAAAAGAAAGCCCCCTGTGCCATGGAGGGCGATGCTGGAGGAAGGATGGAGTGGAGGAGGGGCTGAGGGTCCCAGCTGCAGCAGGGGTGTGGGGGACACGTGGGGTAGAGGCCAATGGGCTCAAGAGGGAGGCTGGACGGAGCCTGTGCTGGGGGACCTGGAGCTGAGAGCACCCCCTCCTGCCCTGGGGACTCCTCCACACACAGCAGAGCGTCCAGAGGGCTGGGCCAGGCTGGGGTCTGTCCCGGCTGCCACAGAAGGACAGGTGGAGGGGCACCTGGCTGAGGAGCAGCAGGCAAGCAGTGGGGCCGCACCTGAAGTTGTAGCTCCTCTCCTGCAGCTGGAAGGAGTAGTGGGGTCGACAGTCGGAGCCTCCGGCGTCCAGGTCACAGTCCCAGTGGACAAAGATGCCCACAGCCCCGCCCTGCACACAGCACATCACTGCTCCACCAGCACACAGGCAGGGACCCTCTACTGGAGCCCTCCCAGAACCCTGCCCCACACAGACATACCAGCAACGCCAGGTCCTCAAAGACCCCTCCAGCTGCGGCCACAAGGTCCCCGATGCGGAACACAGGGCAGTAGGGGCTGAAGCGTGGGTCGTAGCGGCAGCGCTTGAAATAAGTGGCATCCCAGGTCTCCAAGGCATTGGACCTGAGAGGGAGTGGGGCTGAGGGTCGGGCCAGGCAGGGGACAAGGAGGATCTGGGGCCAGCCAGGACCCACCATGCTGACCTGGAGAAGTTGAACTTGCTGAAGGTGACAGTGTTTTTGATGAACAGTGTGAGGTTCTCAGCCTGGAGCAGCAGGGGCTTCCTGCAGGTGGGAGAGGTCAGGGGCAGGCTCTGCTGGTCCTGGAACCCGCCCTGGGTATCGGAGACACTTACGTGGGCTCACTGTTGCTCTCCACGGGGCACCAGCCCCGGATCTCACAAGTCCTGTGGGTCCCATTGAACTCCACACACTGGCCCGTTTTTATGCCTTGAAAACACAAGACAAACTCCAGGCCCTCAAGTCTCCACAGGGCCTGGGGAGGGAGTGGGCAGGGGTCTGTTGGAAGAAAGAAGACCCACAGAGGCACCACCAGGCCTGCACGAGGGAGCCACCCAGGGTCCCAGCAGGGCCCCCTGAACCCCCCTCCCAGTGGAGGCGCTGGAAGACAGGCCCACAGTTACCGTGGCTGTACGTCCCCGTCTCCCCTTCAGGACAGTGCTCGTCAGCCCAGCAGTTCGCCAGTGGAATGGAGGGGTGCTGAGGTGGTGAGAGAGCAGAGTTGTCCAGGCCCAGGGGGTGTCTCCCCTTTGTGACACAGCCCTCAGCCTTGCAGTCCCCAGGGACACGCCCCTCCCCTGCTTAGCCCACAAGATTCCCAACATGGGAAAGTTGGAGGGTGGAATTAAAAGGAGGTGGTCAGAGGGGGGAAAGCGAGCAGCCTCCAGCCAGATCGGGGTGCAGTGCTGTATCCCAAGGCAGAGCAAGACTCCTGCCCTCCTGATAGTTCTGTCCTGGGTAGGGGCAGAAGTGACACCTCAAGGCCCAGCTCCTCTGGACCAATTTAGAGGACAGAATAGGGAAGGTGCAGGGACTCTGGGAGGGTAAGTTCATGCCAGGGTAGGGGTGCTGGGCGTGGCAGACTAAGGGAGGGACCCTCATCAGAGTGGCCTGTAGGGAAGTGGGACCCCACACAGTGGCCAAGGGACCACAGGCTATTCCCTTGTTCTGCTGTAAAACAGGGACATTAGTGCCTGCACACGGCCACAGAGTTCTGGGCATCAGCCAGGAGGGGACTTGGTGAACATTCTGGGAGTCCCGGACCCCAGAGAGGAAGCATCCTCAAGCATGAGGCACTAGCACAGAAAGGGTTCTGCCAGGTGAAGGGTGGACGCCTCTGTCCAGAGCCCTGGGCTCAGGGGCAGCAGGAGGAACGCAGCACCAGGGTGGCAGGAAGGCCTCGGGGACTCTGAGAAGCCAAATGACACTGTGGGACTTTGTGGGGTGGGACTGTGAGAGGGGGCAGAGGACAGCATGGGGCCACCTGCTCTGCCTCGCCATCCCTACCTGTGTCCTGGGTCTGCCCCTCCTCACCACCCTGGCTGGGCCACCAACTCCTCTGACCAGACTCCATGGTGATCACCACAGGGCCCCACTTCTGCCCTCATCCACCTCCCTCCAGCAGCCCGAGTGGCCCATCCCAATGACAGACGATCGAGCGCCCCTCCCCTGAGCCCATCTGTGGCTCCTGATGCTGCTGGCTCCAGTTCAGCTCCTTAGAGGGGCTCACAGGCCCCTGTGGTCTGGGGCTACCCC